ATCAGGCATTTCGCGGGTACTGGTGTTGTGGGTAATGTGTGGCAAAAGTGAGCGCAAAATTTATTTAAATATTGACACTAATATTGGGCACAAATCCAAATGCAAACACTGATTAAGACTAGAAATACACTGCGAGAGACTCGAGAATAGTTTAAATTCATTATAATATTCAAGTGATTTGTAAAACAAAATTAATTAAAAACTACACTCTGTTACAGTGCTATACTGTAGAATATTCACTATTTAAATGTATGCTTCATAATTGACTGGTATGGTAGGTATGGTATGGTGTGGTTGACTGCATTTAATTGAATATAATTTGATTTAAAATTAAATTTTCGCCAAAACAACAAAATATAACTAAAGAAAAGACTTTTCAATAACCATTCAAAAAGACACACAAAAGCTATTCTCATTTTAATGAATTCAGTCATAAACATAACGATAATATTGCTTTTTTAATGCAAAACAAAATCAATACTTTGTTTCTCTACGAGTCGAGTGATAGAGGAAATATACTTTATTTTTCTCATCATTTAATATAAAATATTTAATTGTAATTATAATTATAATTATTTCGCTTTACATTAATTATATTCTGTGCCGTGAATGCAATGAAAGTGCTTTTAATTACACACTATTTTTGATATAAACTGTTTGGAGATTGTTATTATTGTTATTAAAAGTATTTACCGAAAAAAATTTCTTAAGATTTTTTACGACTGTTATATAATTAATCAATGCTTTTGTGTTGACGTGTATTATAGACACAAATATAGAAATAAAAGTTGTATTAAAATTGTGGACATTTTTATTTTGGATATTAAATGCAGTTTAGTTTTTGTTACGTAAGGGGTTTAAGATTTTTATTAAATTTTAATTTAAGCTAAAGTTATTTAGGCGCAGAAAATATTATATTACTTTGATTTTTATGTTTGGCTTAAAATTATTTTTAATGCAGGAATTAAGTTAATCTGAAATGGGTTTGGGAAATGATTTTTTAATAATAAAATTAATGCTTAAAAGCATTTTGAGTTTTATATGTATTTATAATAAAATTTATTTCGAGAAAAATGTTTTTAATTCTTGAAATGTATAGAGAATTAAATGTATTTAAAGATAATTTTTGATACACTAATGAGAGCTATATTATAATGATTGTGAGCATTAGATATCATAATTTTATAAACATTTTATATAATTTTTATAGTGTATAGATTTTATATATATGTGTAATTTATAAAAATAGATTTAATTGAGCCCTAAAATTAAGACATGTTTTTTTGGGTACACAATTAGACACGAGTTTTGTGCCCAACAAATATACACTTACTGTATAAATGAAAAATGACTAAATCATGGCTTTAATACATCTCCCAAAATATATATAAATGTCTATATATTTATGAAATTGGGTTTTCATATCGAGTTTAATGTGATTTTCTATCTTATATTTATAGTCAATTTTATTTCATATATAAAGAGATATGTGTTTAATATCTTCAGGAGATCTTAGTTTAATAGATTTTTGTGTTGTTTTTGGTATCCATTTTTGAGACTCATTTGAATATTAACTCCTAATTTGAAGTAATGTTTTGTTGTTTTCATATTTAATTTTTGCTCATTTTTCATACTCCGCCGTGAATATTAATATTTAAATTATTTTGCATTTTGTTTTATTAAAAATTAAACTAATATTTTTTGGGTACGACTATAAAGCGCTGTACATAATAGCGAGTTTTAAATATATGGTATTATCTCTGGATATTATATTTTTTGTGTTTTTAAAAAATGCTTTGAAAAATGTTTGTCTGTTTTGTTGTCTGTTATTATGAGTTATGGTATGGATTTGTTACACAACACAAAAAGATAAGCCCTTTATATCCCATAGAAAAAGCTTAACATTGAATATTATATTGAAAAATGTGTTCAAAAAATGAGCAAAAGAGTGAAAAACAGGTTTTTTAAGAGTAAAAAATATATTGAAATCCATATTCTCTTTGGGCTGAAGAGTGGAGGAGAGACACAACCACTCGAAGTCATCGCTCATCTCAATATCATTTGAATAGTCTTTTTATGTCTGAAAATGTCTTTCAATCCTTTAGTTTTGAAGTTTTCTTTGCTTTTTTGTGTTACATATCTCTGGCGTGAAATCCAGAATTTGTCTGAATATTGATTTGCATGATTCCGATGCCATATATTAATATATAACTGATGGCAAAGTTTTTTGTAGTGTTTTGTTTGAATGGGAAATATATACTCTTCTTCTTCTGTATTCTTCAACCATTTGTTCGCCGAAAATATTATGCATTTTCTCTGAAGTATTTTCTTCGTTGAAGATTGCGATTGAATGTCACAAATGGTCTCAAAAACTCTTATGTATGATATTATTGGCAGAATAGAAGTGATAGTAAAATAAGGGAATAATTTTTGTGCACAATATTTCTCAGTAGATCTAACTATTGGCAAGTTTTTCATCAATATATTTCTCTCTCTCTCTCTCTCTCCCTCCCTATCTCTCTCATTCACTCGCATTTCTCCCTCTATAGCAGTGGTTATACCAAACACTATGCACTTAATGCCAGAGCACTGGCAGATATTATAGATATATTACAGAGAAAAGAACCAGTTTTGGTGATCGACCACTCTATCCATGTATTCACTCACTCACTACAGTATGTATGCCTCGACTACAGCCATAAACCAGTGGATCCGATAGCGCAGGGCTGGGAAAGACTGGTATATCGATAATACATTGCCAGTCGTGGAGCTGAGTAGTCGTCAAACGAGAAAAAAGCCATTTATATTACCAGTAGTTCTGGTCTATACTCTCTCTCTCTCTCTCTCTCTCTCGAGAGAGAGAGAGAGAGAGAGAGAGACCGGGGGAGAGAGACAGCACATGAATGCCCTCCCGATGCGTGTCGACTCGTCCGTCGGGTTCCCTCTTTCTCTACACACATGCCATCCCTCCCATTCCCCCTTTATTTCTGGTCTCATATCAAAAACTCCAACAAAACATTTTTCAAGTGAAAAGAAATTTTTTAGCTTCAATTCCCCTCTCACTCACTCATACATACATACACTGTACGGATGGCCTGTCTATTGACTCCAACACACCAACCAAAAACAGTCAGTTCCCCATCCCATGCATCCCATGCCCAACAACAACACCACTGGCACAGGAGGAATGGCATGGCATGAGAGTGTAGCTTAAAAAATGACAGCCAGTATAAGCTATAAACACATTTCGAGCCAAACAAATGCCAAACCATTATAATAATGAAGGGCTCGGTTTGACGTTCAGATAAAATACGTTTGTTTTGTTTTTTATGGCTGTATTTGAAATGAAAATTGACATTTGGATTGACCATTAGGTTCAATGTATTATGCATTCAATACCCGTTTTCATATGCATTGGCAATTCATTGATCATTAAAAATATGTGCGGATAATAATTGGTATTTTTAATTGGTAATTGTTTGAATGGTTTATTTTTGGGTATTGCTGGCTAAGAGATTGTCATTTGCGATACTGTCATAAAGTGTTGTTACTAGGCTCGGGGTATATGCACAGGCATTCCCATCCATTACACCGGCATATATTAGGGACCCATTAATAAAAGCACATTTGAATGCGAGCCGCGAATGTCACAAATGGTCTCAAATACACTTATGTCATGATATTTATTGCATAATACAAGTGATAGTAAAGTAACGCAGAATTGTGCTCAATATTCTTCAATAACTATAACTATTACAAAGTTTTCGTCTATAAGTTTTCATATTTGGTTTCCAATATATGACTTATTCTGACGACTGGTTTCCAATGTATATCTCACTTCCAGTCTCTAATATTTGGCTCATATTTATTGCATCGTTGACTGAATTGTGTCATCAATGGTCTCATCCTTTGTTCGCTGTCTTTCTATTCAATATCACAATCAGAGAGAGAGAGAGAGAGAGAGAGAGAGAGAGAGAGAGATTCATTGTCGACACGAATACATTCGGGTCTCATTGAAATACCAGTGCATTCGCAGCACCAGTAGTCCATTGCTTATGGTGGTGCGACACACAATATGTTACTTTCAAATGCAATGTCTGTATAAACCCCTGCCATTCGAGTATTGCATTTACTTTCATTGAAAATCACTTTTTTATACAAAAAATTTCTTATTCTGTTTGAGTCACATATCCATTGCTATACTAAACAAGTAATAGGTTTTGGTATTCGTCTGATGCCATCCACACCACAGTTAAGATACAGAGCACTCATTGAACTGCTTTACTGGCAATGGTATCGCTCTGGTAGAGGGACTGGTAGGCTATGGAATGGTGTGTTATCTCTCTTCACGACTTGTTTGCCAAAAACAAAATGACAAAAACATAAAAGTCTTTCGCTTCAAAGTGTCTTTGATTGCAATGACTTTGAAAATATCGCTCTAATGTCCTGTCGTTTGGCGTTTCCGTTCCCTTTCCTATCCCTTCGCACTAAACAATACTCTAAAAGGCATTCCTATTCACAGATTTTGGTGTTTTTATTATTGTTTTTATATATTTTGTGCAAAAAATGTGGCATTTTATGTGTGATTTGAAAGGATTTGCTGCGATGTGTCGTCTCTCATATCAACTCTCGATTATAAGTCGTGTAATACATGTCCCGCAGAAATGCTGGCATTTCTCGTTGCAAATGCTTTTTTGTCGCTTTCTTTACACAACTGAACAACAATTGCAAAGAGAAATAGTTTATTCATTTGTAGAAATGAATAGCTCTTTAGAAATGATGTGTAAAAAATTCATTCATTATTTGTTGGGCTGTTTTTGGCTATTTTTCTTGTCGTGTATCCACTATTAGACATAAGTCTTGTGTGGATCTCTCTCTCTCTCTCTCTCTCTCCATCCGAGGCATCCTTTTATTGTTCGTATCATAAGAGAAAAGTTTGTTATTTTAATGTATTTTTTGTGTTCCAAAATGTTTTTTGTTGTAAAACTATTAGCCATTCTTTTAAGTATTTTTTGTGAAAATATTTCTATTTTAGTTTTGTTGTAATGTTTTATACCCACAACTATGTCTGGAATTTTATATAAGTTATAAGTTATTATATGTTTTTATAGTATTTAATAGTTTTGCTTTTGTGTCCACTATTTTGGCTAAAATTGAGTGAAAAGTTTTGTTAGTTTTTGAGTGTTTTGTTGTTTTTATAAAATAAAAGTTTGAATGAAATATTAGGAGAAAAGGATGAAATAAATTATAGTTTTGTGTAAATTTTATTCAGCATAAGGATTGATAGCAATAATGATTTTTATGATTCATAATTTGTTGGCGTTTTATGTTTGTATTTCGTATTTCCCTTTTTGATGACTGAAAATATATAACTTATAAAATACATAATATAAAGTTGATTTGCGAGATTAAAAAACTAGTCTTAAAATTCAAGTTTTTTAATTTTTTGCTTTTTTGTTTGGCGTATAACTTATATATTTTGTGGTCGTGTTGTGTATTTAATTTTGATACCCATTTCGCTGTCAAATCGAGAGCATCGACACCAAGAAAGAAGTAAACGATAAGAAAATTTCGTATAAATTGTGTTTGAATTATAATTTTTGCCAAAATATATGGGAAAGAGTTGTTGAATATTAGAGGGACTGGAGATTTGGAGGAGATTTTGGTGACCTTTTTTGTGTGAAACATACATATATTTTTTGGTGTCATATAATATCTCTCTGACAGTCGAGGTTTTATTTATAACATAAACTCTGCAAAACTGTTTTAATCCTAAAAATTGCGAAAATTTATAATATTTTTTTTTCTGAAATGCATTTTATTTTATTTTACAGCAAACTTTACTCTTTTTATTATCTCTCGTTTTATATTTTTGTTTATTTTGTCGAGAGTTTTAATATGAAATGCATTTGAGTTTTGTTGAGTGTATATATTGTTGAGTTTATGGCAAATATTCTTTGAGACCAAATAGATATTCTGTTATCTGGAGTGCAATTCATATCGTTTTATATATTTGCTATATATTTAATATATTTAATATATAAGTGTGTTTTTTATAGAATTATATTTTTTCTATACTTATAATCAGTTTTGATGGTTATCTCTATTATTGAATTTTTGTCTCATATTTACGACTCCATATTATGAGATACACTTATATTTCGCTATAAATCTAACGATTTTTATCTAAAATATAATAATATTAATAAAAATATAGTTTTTTATTCAATACATGCCCTAACCATTGGATACCATAGTTTAAGTTACGACAGGTCTGGCGTATATAACTTGCAGTGAAAAAAATAGTTATAAGAGTTTGGGATTACATTCCTATCCCTAAAAACTCAATTGAATTACATTTTTTCGTTACAGAGTCTTACGTAACATTTTGTAAGAAATATTCACTTTAATTATATTTTTGGATTTTCTATGGATTAGATTTAGTTTGCGCTTCAATTTAGTATATATATCGTCGTTGTATTCATTACGCGATAATATTTAATATAAGAAAATATTTTCTTTAATTCGTTTAGACGTTAAGAGAAAATTGAATTTTTTTGTCTCTTTTTTCTTCCCTCTTATCCCTAATATTCGCGTATTTTTACGACTTTTTTGTGCTGTCTTTCATTAATTATTTTGTTGTTATATTAGATTGAATTCTCTCTCGTCTTATATATTATTTTGATATTAATTTCTCGTTTGCCAACAAAATTCTCGTCCATTTCTATCGCTCTCTCTATCTATATGTGTGTGGAGGCGATGGCTATAAATATAAGTTATATTATATTTGCTGTAGTTTTGGTGAAAATATTTTTCTCATTCGCGAAATCACGTGAGTTGTAGAGGAAAAGTATTGTTTGAATTCTGGTCTCAAATATCAGTTTCAGGTTTTAATTTTCTGCTCGAGTTTTTGGTCGTTATCTACGAGTTTAGTATTAAAACTGGAGATCAGTTTTCTCTCTCGAAAACTCTTTTCCACTCGTTTAGCGAGAAATATATGTACGCAAAGGGTTGGACATCATCTGCCCAGGGGTTTGCGTATTAATATCTGTCCCCTTATGTCATGTGTTTCTAAATAGATGGTAAGATTTCATAAGAAATATGAGTCTTTAGTGCCATTTTTTATGCGCAAGAATTTCTGGACAATTACTCCGCTCTCGTAATCATTAAAAATAAATTTTGATAATTATTTTGAACAGAATTCTTGGTAAACAATTGAGAGAAAAAGTTTTGCCCAAACATGACATCCCTTGAGCGCTGGCTGTGTCTGCACTCGACTGATAATAACTTTTAGTGTCATCTCTCTCTCTCTCTCTCTCTCTCTCTCACACACACTCACTCACTCACACAAACACAGCGAAAATTTTCGACATCTATTTGTGTACACTTTTATGCAAATATTGATGTCATTTGTCGTCTCTCTCTCTCTCTCTCTCACCCGCACTAACTGACTATAAGTATAGTTTAGTTCGTGTCCTTTCATTTCAATTCATTTCATATTAAATCAATATTTGACGTCAAACTAAAACTCGCAGTTATATATGATGAACCACTCGTTCAATTCAAATGAGTTGTTATTTTGCTCCTAATCTAATGTTTATTTAATAAAAATAGGCAAAACTTTTTTATGTGACCAAAATATTGCGATCACAAATTGATTTTATGGATATATTTTCGAAAACCACTTAAAACTTTTTCCTATGTTTACTGTTTACTGGCGTTCATAATATGAAGTTTGCGAAAATGTCACTTATTTTTTAAATACATTTATATTAAATGATGAGAAAAATAAAGTATATTTCCTCTATCACTCGACTCGTAGAGAAACAAAGTATTGATTTTGTTTTGCATTAAAAAAGCAATATTATCGTTATGTTTATGACTGAATTCATTGAAATGAGAATAGCTTTTGTGTGTCTTTTTGAATGATAATTGAAAAGTCTTTTCTTTAGTTATATTTTGTTGTTTTGGCGAAAATTTAATTTTAAATCAAATTATATTCAATTAAATGCAGTCAACCACACCATACCATACCTACCATACCAGTCAGTTATGAAGCATACATTTAAATAGTGAATATTTTACAGTATAGCACTGTAACAGAGTGTGGTTTTTAATTAATTTTGTTTTACAAATCACTTGAATATTATAATGAATTTAAACTATTCTCGAGTCTCTCGCAGTTTATTTCTAGTCTTAATCAGTGTTTGCATTTGGATTTGTGCCCAATATTAGTGTCAATATTTAAATAAATTTTGCGCTCACTTTTGCCACACATTACCCACAACACCAGTACCCGCGAAATGCCTGATATACGGTACTGTAAGTATTAATTATAATTATACATATCCGACAGAAATTTTTCGCAAACTTTTGTTTATTGACAGAAATAAATATAATAAAGTTGTATTTATTCAAACAGTTGTAGTGTTATATTGGCAAAGATTTTTGCTGTCGATACTGTTTATGGTGTTTATATTGTGTCGTGTTTTTGTACATTTTTTCCATAATATATGTGATATTTCACTGCCGTTTTGTGTTTTGCAATCAATTTCATTTGCATTGAAATAATATGTTATTTTCTGTGTTTATATTAAAATATATTAAAAGCACTTAAAACTATAGACGACATATGGCAGTGGAAAACGGATTTCTGTGCCTATTTATAAATAATATATACGATTTGTTTAGAAATTCTGTGTTTTTATTTTGATTGCATTCTTGTTTTGCAATAATGAGAGAGAGAGAGAGAGAGAGAGAGAGAGAGAGATTTGTTGATTAGTTTTCTCTCATTCTCTATCTATATTCCTCTAAGTCTTCTGATCTTCTGATGTGTTTTTGTATGCAATTTGTGATGAGATTTGTCTCTCAAGAGCTAAGAGGGAGAGTAGGGTTTACTCATCCATGAGATGCCAAACACACAAAAAACGTGATCACATCTAAAGGAGAAATTCTGTACATTCTGTAGACTCACAATATTGTAGTGAATATTCTGTGCATTTGTGTAATACTTACTGTCTCTGAAGTAATCGTTGAAAAACATCTTGTTTTTAAATGCGAGCAAAGAGTTATTAACAGAGTTTTTACGGGAAATATATTTTTGTATATAATTTAATGTCTTATTAGAGACGCATAGCTCTGAACAATGAATAGCAACGTGTATTGTGTCTTGAAATGACATTTTTCTAGAAAATTATTTTTTGCTTAATTTAAAAGTCTTTTTATTTCGTTGTATTGTTGCTGTCGTTCCCAAACATACATGTCTTTGGCATGTATTGCCGTATATAACGACTATTACTCATACCTTAATGGGAGAGTAAGTTATTATTAAATAATGGAAAGTAAAGTGAAATTGTTTTTAAGTCTCCAAAACACTATTCTGTGCCCTAATTATGAAGAAATGTTTTGTAGTTTTGGCGCTCGCTTTGCATTGTTGTACTCCCTTTGGGATTGGATTTTAGTTTTTCTAGCAGTACTGAGAAAGTACTGTATTTTTGTTTTTCTATCGATATTGGCTGAGCCATTAGATGAGCAGACATTAGTGTAAAACAAAACAGGAATGAGAGAGAGAGAGAGAGAGAGAGAGAGAGAGAGAGAGAGAGACTGCTAGTCTTTAGTCTTTATTTATAATTTTGTTCATTAGTTTTTGCATGTTTTTGGTCTAATTTCTAGCATTACATGAGCTGTTGTTAGTGTTAGTACTACAACACAAACTGCAGTCGTCTTCTGATCTCTCGATTTCAATGCCAACTCTAAGACACAAATGTGTTTCACTTAATGGGCTTTACATATGATTTAATGGCATCTCATTCGCACATCTCTCTCATCTCTTCTCTCTTTTTGCTCTCCCAATACATCTCTCCGACTGAGAAATGTTAGCAAAAATAGTATATATAACTCATGTGAAGAATACTACTCTCTATTTTGGATGCCTTTTGATGTAATACCGGCCCAGAAATCTAATGTCTTAAAGTGATGTTTCAATAATTTTTGCCTTTATTTCTTATATTGTACTCTATTCTCAGAAACCATTTTCTCAAAGTGTATTTAAATCCTCTTTTTGCCTATTGTTTTGTTTTATATATCGCTAAGACTTTTGGCGTTTTTTATTTGTTTGAAAGTCTTTGTCGATAATCTCAAGACTCGTATTCAAATAATCTTTTCATATAATAAAATAAGTCTTAAATATATTTTTCTCTTATTGTTATTGAAATGTGTACGAAATAAAGGCTCATTTATATAGTCCCTGGCAATGTTTGCCATAATTTTTTGTTATTCGCTTTTTTCGCTCTCAATGTTTGTTTGAGTTTTGATTTTTCGCGAACTTCGACGAAATTGCATAGAGATGTGAACAGAGGCTATAAAAGTAGTGATCATTTTATTTATTAAATCCAAATCTATGTTTTCCCATTGCATTAGTATTTACTCTCACTTTATATGCATTGCTTTTTCTGGTCGACACACATATAGTATGTTATATTGTTTTGCATTCGTATAGATATTTGTTGTATAAAAGATTTATTGCCAGTTATTGGACTCAATCCAACTTTATTTGATTGGATTTGTGCTCTCTTTCTCTCTCTCTCCTCTGTCTCTCTCATTCTCTCTGTACTCTAGCCATCCATTCATTGGTCCATATATTGTAAAACTGTGTCTTTCTCTATCACTTCACTTATTACTTGTGTGTTCTTTACTCCAGAAGAATATTCTCTCTATTGATAGGACTACTACTCATCTATAGATTTCTCTCTCCCATACCCTTCCCTTCCCCTCTCTCTTTCACATCTCTCTCTCTCTCTCTCCCTCCCATCCCTTGAATTTCCTCTCAGTTCACTATATTTTGATTTTTGAATTGATTTTTCCATTCTTTCGATTTTCCCTTTTATTTGTTTGTAATATAAAAATATTTTTATTGATTGACTCAAACTCCCAAACCAACGCCTTTTGCACAACTATTTTCTATCTATGGATTTAATTTTATTTTATTGAATATAATGTTCTCTCTCTCTCTCTCTCTCTCTCTCTCGCAGCGACAATAAATGAAAATAAGTTTCTTTTCTCTATATTTTTATTTGATTTTTCTCTCGCTATCTATTGATTTGAAGTATTTCTAAGACAGTATTTGATCTCAACTTTCGATTGATTTTCAATAATAAAAATAAATAAAACTTTCACAAAATTTCTTGCCATTACTATATATTTTGTGCTGAAGTTTGCCGTTTATTCTCATTCTCGTGCGTAATGTCTACCGAAAAAATATTGTATATAATAAGCAAATTTGGTATAATTTAATAGATTTATTTTTGGCATTTTATTTTTCATATATTTATACTTTTTTATGGCAACTAATGATGGGAAGGGATGGAGGAATGACTGGCTTTTAAAACGATATGTATAGCTACTAAAACAAATTATTCGTACATTTAATGACTTTAAGTTTGACTGGATTTTAGTTAATGTTTTCTCTCATTTCGGTATAAAATATATAGATTTTTGTACTTAAGACTAGCGATAGAGAAGTCTGGCCTTTATTTTCGCTCTGTATTTAAATTGAGTTAATTTTCTGTTCAAACAAAAAACATAAAACTCAAACACAAATAAAAAACTACACAATTTTCTAATGGATTTTCTTTATTATTATTCTCTCTCTCTCTCCCCCTCCCTCTCTCTCTCTCTCATGTATTACGCAATGTGTAGTTCACTTGAAGTTGGGTTTTGTGTTCACTTTATTTTTCAATTAAAACTCCAATAATAGAGTTTCGTTTGTAATAGAGTTATATAATGTAGAGACAGGCCATGGAGTAGTGACTTAACTGTATATGCGATAAATGTTTTTGCAATACCTATACCACGGGTACAAATCACTGGAACCGATAAATTCCTGGCACTCTATGCGTTGATTACGAGATCTATTTTTTGTGATCCATTACTACAAAACCACTTCTAATGACAGTTTATTTATACAACATTTTCACGATTTTCTATTCACTCGTATATAATATATATTTTGCCATTAATTTCTAATTTTCATTATTGACTGCTTTTTATTTTGTTGTTTATATTGTGTTCAGGAAAATATATTTAGAGCATATATGGTGTGTGTACTGTATAACCCTTTGTCAGTATTACAGGTATTATGATTGCATATATCGATATACAGTACCTGTAATACCTGTCTAAGGTGTCTGTCTACCCGAGAATAATGTTCTGTATTTGTAATATAATAATAATTTTTTCTCAAACCATTCACTATATTCACAGCATTTGAATCATTCAAATGGGAAATGCATTTCCATTTGATTTATGGCTTTAATAGACAATAGAATTGCAAATTAAAATCAACACAAGATTTGTTTTGTTTTTTGTCTTACATTTATTTCATATGTAATAATTTTTTATTGCACTTAAGTTGTAATTAAATATGCCAGCTCTTTTATGTGTCGTTCCCTTTTCACTCGCTTTTTTATTGCTCTTGTTATTGACTTTAATGACCGGAATATATGTTAAAATATTTAATTTATTTCTTATCTTATCTCCAGGTTATCAGATGAGAGGCTATACGACAGGGACGGCAGGACGGGGTCGCTGAACAGTTACGAGCGGATTGTGGACAGGGGTGACAATCCCTATATCAAGAGGAATATCGGGTATTTGGATGATCCCAGCGATTATCCAAACAGAAGTCGATCTCGTGATAGACATTTTAGTCGTAATATTAATAATAATAATAGTAGTTATGGCGACCCATTAGACAGGTATGTGCTCTCAGCCGACGCTCACTGTCCACCCAAATGACAGTTATTTGTGTAGACATAGCGTACGAAATGCATGTGAATTCAATTTGGACTCAATTTTTGCTTTTTTGTTGGTTATAACCTACTGTTCAGTAATGAGATATATATTTAGTGGTAGTTTTGTTTTTATTTTATTTTTGTTTGTTTGACGCCATATAATGAGTTTCTATTCATTATATAAAAAGGTATCCATTGTAATGAGATTTTCGTACACTATTCAATCAATGGACACGAAATATGTTGTGTTAGAAATGGGGGTAATTTTCTGAATATATTTGTAATTTTATGTTTGATTAGTTTTGTTGTATTATTATATTTTATGTCATCTCTAATACACACACAATAAAGTTGATTATAAGCGGAGTGTTCATTATAAAGGGTCAGTTCATTAACTAAATGGCATTCCAGCTGTAGATTTGATAGCATATAGACTGCGAGCCTCTAATCTAATTGTGTTAATTTGAGTCCAAACTAAAAGCAAAACAAACACAAAGAACTGAAATTTAATTAAACCCCAAAAAAAGACAAACTTTTGTCTCTCTTTCACTCCATTAGACTATTATCTAATTTATGTCTTATATTCCTTTGCGTCTCACCCCAGCCGTACCCCCCATTTCCGGACGTACCCCCACAGGAACAGCCAGCCCTCGTTTGACGGGCAGCGGTACCCGTCGACGGAACAGCTGCTCGACGACCCCAATGTCAATAGCAATACCTCTACGACCACCTCATCGCTGTCCGGACAACGGGGCGGTTTGGTGGGCGGCCCCGCGCAGGGCTCCACTGCCGCCTCCCGGCGCATGACGTCGGTGTCGACGACCAGCGGCGGCGTCTCGTCGACGGTGTCCTCACCGCCGCTCAAGAAGAAGAAGAAGAAGACGAAACAGTCGTTGCGGTCGCACTCGGCGTCGCCGTCGCCCTCCCGGTCCAGTTCGTTGAGTTCGGCGCGCAGTCACTCGCCCTCCTCCTCATCCAACATATCGACGTCCAGCCCCTCCAGTCGTAGTCCATCGCCCGCCAAATCTCAGTCCCCATTGTATGTATCGATTGTCTGTTTGGTTTCAGTGTCTTATTGTCTAACGATGTGATTATCTCTCTGTCTGTGTGGACACGAATGCAGATCATTGTACAGCAGTCGCAAAGAACGAAGCAGTTCTGTGTTGATATCGGCGGCCACGACCACCAACAACATCACCACCACATCCACTCAGGGTTCCAATCACACGCCACTCCATAATAGCGCCGGCACTCCCGGCTCCGACAGCTCCGCAGATAAGGACGACAGTCGGCCCCTCGCCATCTGCGTCAAGAACTTACCCGTCAGGTCGACAGGTATGTCATGACTACCGACCCTCTCATGACCCTCTAGACTTTTAATTGATTACATTATTTGCAAATATTTTGTAATCGATTTGCAAGTCGTTTGTGTGTTTGAGTTATAAATTGATTGCTGTGTTTGTATTAATGTATTAATGTCGTGTGTTTGACGTGTCGTTCCCCACATCTAGACTCGAGCTTAAAAGATGGTCTGTTCCACGAGTACAAGAAGCACGGGAAGGTGACAATGGTGAAGGTGGTGGGCCAGGGGACAGACAGGTTTGCCGTCGTCTGCTTCAAAAAGCCCGAAGACGTTGACAAAGCGCTCGTAGAGTCAAAGGTCAGTCCCGGCGCTCATACATCTCTCTCACTCGTACTCTCCCTTTCCATTACAATCGTATCAATCATTACATTCAATAGAAATTTCGTTTTGATTTTCCATTCATTTATCGCTATTTTTGCCTTTTTATTCATAAAACGATTTTTACTTTTCGCTTAATTTCTAAGAAATTCTGAATTCATCTTATTTTTGGCTGTATTTTTGGATTCGTTACAAGAATTTTAATGAATTTCTAATAAATTTGTTTTTGTTTTTTCTTTCATTTCGTTTGGCATTTAATCTCATGGTTACGAATAGGAGAAGCAATTCTTCGGCTGTAAGATCGAGGTGTCGGCGCACGAGGGCATCGACGCAGAGGACAACGACTTCCGACCCCTGGAGGCCGAGCTCGACGAACACCACCCGAAGGCCACGCGAACCCTATTTGTCGGCAACTTAGAGAGGGATGTGTCGACCTCTGACCTGAAGGCCCACTTCGAGCAGTTCGGAGAGATTATCGTAAGTTTTGGTTGTCTTTGTTTTGACCACTAATTAGCCGTTTATTTGCACTGCAATTGAGTGGCTCTGTTGTGTCCACTAATTGCTGTGCGATATGACTGTTATATGTGTTGATTGCGACATAAACTTAATGATTGTGTGTTTTTGTCGACCGGAACAGGAGATCGACATCAAAAAGCAGGCAAACATGACGTCCTACGCGTTCATCCAGTTCGCGGACATCACGTCTGTGGTGAAGGCGATGCGCAAACTGGACGGCGAGAATTTGGGCCAAAACCGCATAAAACTGGGTTTCGGCAAATCCATGCCAACCACCTGTGTTTGGATACATGGCGTCAGCGAACAGGTGACCGAGAAGTCGCTGTTATGGCAGGCAAACAGGTTCGGCACAGTTGTCAACCATATGCTGGACAGACAGCGCCAGAACGCCCTCATATTCTACGACAGCGTCGAGTGCGCCCAGAATGCGGTGCAGGACCTGAAGGGCCGGGTGTTGAGCGGACGCAAAATGCAAGTGGACTTCGCGTCCCGCGAGTGCCAAACGGCGTTCTTTGAGAACATGGAGCTCTCCGGACAGATACCGCCGCAGAGCACCGGTACTCCTGGCGAGAGGTCGTGGGAGCAGACGACGAGAAGGCCGTTGAGCAACAGCGCCCCCAACCAGTGGCCGGAGTTCGACGACCGACTGACCGGCTATGACGGACACAACAACAACAATAACAACAACAGCAACAGTCGGGGCCACTCCGGGCGCTATCAGTCACGCACACCGGGCCGTAGTTATCGTCCGCAGTCGCCGATCCCTTTCCAACGCAATTCGCAAACGGGTTACGGAGGCGGCGGTCGGGGACGGGCTTATCAGAGGTTCCCATCGGCGTCAGACACCTATAACGAAGACTTTGTTGAGCGCCGGCATCGATACGACCCGTCGCCGGACGTGGACTACGACGACTTGTCCGACCACGAGAGGGACGCCTACGGGCGGGACAGGAGTCGCGAGTTGAGCGAGACGTGCAGCAAATCCTATTCCCCTCTGTCGACGTCCCGGCGCAGTGAGAGTCCCAAAGAGGGGCGCCGGGAGGGTCGTCGCAGCACAAGTCCGTACTCTAAAAGTGATATCTCGAACAGTAGAGACAAATCGGACGCAGAGCTCAGCCAACACTCAAAGGACAGGTGCGTCGCCAGTCGGCGCTCGTCCGACGACATACACGACGAGTGGAAGCCGTCCGCAGCGGGAGACCCGTTGCTGGAAAGGAGGCGCCAGAAGTCGCAGCACAAGTCCGCCTGTGATCCCGACATTACATGTCATTCGCCGCCCCAACCGGTGGGCCGGCGGTTGAGTCATAGCAAGAGTCCGAAGGAGAAGGGGCTGTTGGCGCACATGAGCGCCGGCAGCAAAGGCCAGAACACACCCCAAAGTCCCACCGCTAGTCCCTGTACGTCGAGTCTGGCGTCGCCGGTGCGGACAGACTTTCCGGACGCCGACCCGGACAAGGAGTTTGACGTGAGTCGCGATTACGGGTCGGCCGGCGTGTGGCGCCGGAAGTCGGCGGACGACTCGATGCAACTGGACGTGAGCACCGACTCCTCATCCACACTACATCACCACCACCGGCAACGGTCAGACTCTGTGCTGTCCGACTCCAGTGATAACGGCTTCGTGGGCCGGGAGTCGGCGCCGGCGTCGTTGAAACGCAAGCGCGTGGACAGCGAGTCGCCCGACACTCCAACGTGTAGTTCCTCGGAAGCCATCGGACACCTCGAGAGGAAGAAGCGACTGCTGGTGTGTGTGGACGGACTCGCGGGCGGCGCCGCCAGTGGCGGCCATAAAGAACGGTCGCCGGCCGGTAGCGCCGCCTCTGTGGGCGCGTCGAAGGGCTCGTCCGTCGGCCACGAGCTGGTGGACGGGCTGGTGAACAGTGAGACCAATATCCGACAGTTGGCCAAATTGCTCAAACGGAGGCCCAGTAGCTCGGGTGCCGCCAGTGATATCAAATCAAAAGGGAGTGTCATTAGTCTGATTGAACAGCTCTGCACTGACCAACACATCGCCGACATGATCGCCACCGACAAGACCCGGTCCGCCAAACATAATAGTATTATTAGTACAAAGTCTGCCAAATGCTCATACGGTGCTAAGGATACCAGTGCACTGTCGGGCGCCATGCGTGTCATCGACGCCACCACCACGCTGGTGAACCACACGTGGCCCGACCCCCGCCGCCAACAACAGTCGGCCAGTCCGTGCGCGACGGCGGCCGTGGCGGCGGCCGCGCTGTCGGCGCTCACCTCCCTGTCCACGAACGCCTGTTCCGCTCAATTGTGTGCAACGCATACAACAAACTGCAAACAAATGCACCGAAAGCTGGAGAGGAGTGACGCCATATACGAGCTCTCGTGCGACGCCGACGTGACTGTCCTGTCGCGGGTGTCGAGCACAGGGATCGAGTGCGTCGACCGGACACTACTGAAGACGGCGGCGCCCGACATGACGGTCCACACGACGACTCCCAAACTGGACGACCACTGTTCCAGTGAAGTGTCGTCCAGTAGTGACAAAGTGGCGAATGCTTTGGCAGCCAACGGACCGCCGCTCGCGAGGCTTATCGTCTGTCCGCTGAGTCTACCGCTCCCGGAGTTTGCCATCACGACGAGGGCGGGTGCGGTAGGTGTGGGCGCCGGTGCAGCGAAAGTGACGAACGTTGGCGCGACTGTACAGCCGTCGCACCTGTCGCCCAAAAGCACGACAATTATGAGCCCTTTGGGCCAAATGTCGCCCAACAGTGTTGTGCCAAAGAATAAACTGAGGGACAGTAGTAAACAACAACCGATTCTCTCCATAGACAACAGTCTGGTGACGACCACCGATAATCCCGATTCCAATACCGCGAGTGATACCAAAGCCCTGTTGACGGGCGCCGGCAGTGCTGGCAAAGTGCCCGCCAAACAGGACACGGCGTTTGACGAGATCTCAGACCCGGATATGTCGCCCACGCGGTCGCCCACCTCTTTCGAAGACCGCATCCGAGCCCTGGACGCCAAGTACACGGCCTGGAAGGGCAGTCAGACGAGTACGGGGTCGGCGCCCACCACTCCCGGCGTCACAACGGCGGCGGCGAAGGCCGAGAAGACGCCCACCCCTACCATCGATTACAGCAAATACAACATCAAGAAGAAGAGTCAAATCAACTCGACGTCGAGCACCGACTCGCAGACCAGCGAACCCTCAGATATCGTGAAGAATCTGCTGTCGAAGTCGTCGATCTTTGATCAGGACTCCAAGCGTCTGGAGCTGATCCACGAGAAGTACGAACCCAAAGACGTGTCCCAACACGACCAGTCGCTGGCCGCCCAGTCCTCCTCCACCTCTTCAACGCCGACCGGCTCTCAAAAACCAGTGTTCAGAACGAAAGCCGCGGCCAAAGAGTTCTCAACGCCCGCCACAATACCAGCGACGGCGGGCGCACTACAGCCAAAGACATCCGTATCATCTCATCACTCATCCCATCACTCATCGCATCACTCCTCGTCCGGTCATCCGATTCCCGGCTCATTAGCGCGCAAACTGTCCGAACCCACGCGTATGCCGTCTGTCAAGAAGGAGCCGTTAACTCCGACCACACCGTTGACGCCGGCGCCCAACTCGGCGCCCGCTCGCGGTGTCGGCGCCAACCCATTCGCGCCGTTCTCCCGGTCGACGTCCGGCGGCGCGACCGTCGCGCCCAACGCCAGCGCGAGTACGTCGTCAACGGCCGGCCCCGCAGTCGCCGGCACTCGTCTGCCGCAATCAAACCTATTGGGCGGACTCAACATCAAAAAGGAGTCTACGATACCGACTACCGGTGCCGTTGGCACGCCCAAAGACGGTGCAAAACAGGGTCCGCCGCGAGATCCGCGCGAAAATCGCGACCCAAGGGTTGCCGTCAAGAAAGACAATACTATCCACAATATGTCGAACTCGAGTGCAATGAACATGAAGTCCGACACAACCGGCGCCACGGGTCTCAAGAAGGACTTGTCGGCCGGCAATCCGCTGAAGAGCGACTTCGCCAAAAAGGCGTCCCAATTGGCGCAACACTCGTCGTCATTACCGCCCCATTTGGCTGCCGGCGACCGCTTCTCCAGCAAAGCGCAGAACCCGTTCCCGACGACTGCCGCGAATCCGAGAGCGCCGGCAGACGTGTCGTCGTCTTCGGCCAAGAAAAGTGAACAACAGATGAAAAAGCATTCGACAAGCGATTCAGTCGACACGAACGACTCGGAGGGCTGGTATCGCATGTCGAGCACCGACTCTAACAAAGATAATAAGCCAAACAAATCGGATAAACTGAAACACCACTCGCAGAGCGGTTCCATTGGCGGTAAGGACGGCGCCGACACCTCAGCGAAGGATAAGTCGTCGACGAAACAGCTGTCGACCGATAAGTCCGATAAGAAGTCGTCGTCGGATGTGAACAGAAGTGTCGATAAGAATAAAATGATAAATAAATTGTCGAAAGAGGAGAAGAAGTTCCCGAAGAATAAGGACAACAAACAGCTGTCGAAAGAGTCGAGCAAAGAGTCCAAAGATAAGGACAAGTCTTTGAAATCTAAGTCATCGACGGACTCGAAGTCTGAGAAAAAGTCGTTCGACTCGAAGGGCGAGAAGTCGGAGAAGTCGTCGAAATCGTCGGACAAACAGAAGTCTGAAAAGTCGGAAAAGAAGTCGAAAGACAAGTCAAAGGACGGAAGACTGAAGGCGTCGGAGATCCGGATGTTGCTATCGATTCCGGACGACGAGCCGACGTACTTCTCGATGTACGACAAAGTGAAGGCCCGGTCCAGCGCTAACCAGAACCTCAAAGTCGCCAAAGACATGGAGTGCGTCCGACAGAAGTTCAGTCAACTTAAGGACAAACGCCAGAAACACGACGACAGGAACAGGACGACGAGTCAGGACACGGACTCGGACTCAGAGGACACTTTCCGCGAGAGACTGCTGTCGAAGCAGAAGAAGTCGTCGCTCCAGAAGAAGCGTAAAATCATTTTCGACACGACGTCCGACTCGTCGTCCGACGACGACGAGAGCGATTCGGACGGCGC